TGTTGCAGAACTACATTGTAGATTTTTTCTAGTCCCACGTCCCGTTTGTCACTGTGGGAGCTAAATATCTTCCGGTGAAACGTTAGTGTTATGAATTCCTGGGGGGTCCCCCAACAGAGGGAAATCGTGTGCACTTTCTTTGCTGTTGCCCCCTTCAGGTAAAGACTAATCGGTTGACGCGCGTATGGTGGGCGTTCGCCAAGTGACCTGCGCCGCTAGCCAATCAAAAATAAGCATAATGCGAGTAATCCACCGGCCCCTCGATATACGACCATACACGAGTGTAAACCTATAAAAAGTGTTGTTTTCAGACTGCAATAAGCAAGTGAGACTTTGGCCTGCCAGGATGTCACACGTCCGACCAAAGGGGATCAAAAACGGCAGCTTACGAGATTTCGCCCTTAACAGCTTCTAACTGCAGTTTGAAAAATACTCTAGATGCCACGAGTAATCTCGAAGAGAATCAGCAAATGAGCCATTCACGAAGGTCTAGATGGGATAGGTAGTTTAGAAGCTACAGAGGGTGTGATAACTCATGAAATGATAACCGAAATTCGGGAATGAGTTTTCGTATCGAAAAGACTACTTAAGTAGGGTTGTAAAATTGACCATCGTGAAGCATAGTTCATTAATAATTCAGTTACCTCGGGATAACGCCTTTCGAATGAACTTCTTTCAGGACGCATGCAAAAACCACAATCTGTAAAAAATGGCGACTTAAATGACATGCATCATCTCATTGGTTTTCGATGCCCTTAAAATTCAAATTATATTTCATGGAAAACATGCATAAGATATTCATTTCTTTACTCACTTGGTAGAAAATTACATCTTCTTCCAAGTTTATACACAAAGGAAGGGCATAATTCGGTTTTCAAAAACTTTTCCAATTCCCGAATAATTTTGAACACGACCCGTCGTTACACTTGCATTTAGGGTTTCCAAACTACAAGCTGTATATTTTTCATGTACGGAAAATCATACATTTCTATGCAATATTATGAGGATAGCATATGGGACCTATAAGATTTATCAGTGGATTTGAGTCATATGGTAAACTTTGCAAGCCACGTTGGTAAATGCAGAGACGTGATGTTTTATGAACGGGCATTTCCCGATATTAAAAAATCTCGCAACAAGAAGCATTTTGAAAACCAAATTATGCCCTTCCCTCGTGTATAAGATTTGAAGAAGACGTTATTTTCTACCAAATAAATTAAGAAATGAATATCTTATGCATGTTTCCCATGAAATATAATTGAATTTTTAAGGGCATCGAAAATCAATGAGAAAAATGCGTGCTATTTAAGTGGCCACTTTTTACAGAGTTTGGTTTTTGCATGCGTCCTGAAAGAAGTCCGTTCGAAAACCGGTATCCCGAGATAATTGAATTATTATAGAATTATGCTGCACGATGGTCAATTTTACAACCCTACTTAAGTAGTCTTTTCGAAACGAAAACGCATTCCCGAACTTTGGTTAACACTTCATGAGTTAGCGCACCTACTGTATCATGCAATAGCTGTTTCTTGGCTTATCGTAATGGACTGTTCTACTACTTCCAAACGGATCTTCCTTCTACTCTGATGTGCTCTTAGGTCCCTCAACAAAAAAGGTTTTCGTAATCCACTTAGACGTTCATCAGAAGACCTACCAAACCAATTTGACTAACAGCTCTCTTAAAAGTTCTGGAACCTACAAAATAGTTATCATCAAGAGCAAAGGCCAATGGCCGGCCCAACTTCTGACAAAGTTTAACACCGCTTACTAAACGTCCTCGAGGAAAAATCAGTAAAATGTGGTCTCAACCCAGGCGCTCTTTGAAAAAACCTCCCTCCTAATTCATTACTGTCACTATTCTGCAATAGACTTACGCTTAAAGTCAGAAAGTTTACGGTTTGGGGTGATTTCGGCAATTAACCTGTCTGGACTCACGCCACATGCCTTTCTGCTCCCTACGTGCACACAAAACCGACGTCATCAACACGGATTTCACCTACATAGGAGAGTTGCCGTAAAGGTACTGCAGTCTGGCCTCAGTCAGAAGAAGAGTCAACGCATCCTGTCAGTTGGTGGTCTTCCAAGCCACAACTCTCGACGTCAGACGATATTTAAAAAGCATCTCGTTTTTTATAGTGAGGAACGTATGTGCTGGATTGACCTTTTTCCTCTCTCAGTGATGAGTCCGAGTCACCCTTGTTGGAAATAAGACTGGGCTCCGAGGCTGGTACCCAACACAGATGGGTGGATAAAATGATTAGAGTATTTTCAAACACCACTCTGTTGAATCATGCACCTTGGTAACACCTGTACTAGGTATTTCCGGGAGAGAAAGAGATGCACTGCTAGCAGCATTTCTCGTAGCGTCGTACGTGGAAACACAGTGGGTTAGTGAACAAAATAGGAAACCACAGGACCAGGCAATATGTCGCGAGAATTTTACCGACAAATGGGTATAAGAAGCAACGTTCGGAAACGTGGGGTGTAGGGGGGAGTTGTGTGCGCATGCTAATTCGAATTTACAAACTTCGCTTGCCCTTTTTGTTTCTGAAGTTTTGAGGTGTCCATATTTTCTGCAGGTCGACAAAACGTGACGCAAATATACCGTACTTCAACCACTTCCCAGCGCTGTTTTTTTAAAGAAAGAACTCTTCTCTTGCTTTAAATCCTCTTTTTGCATCCACACAATCGCTGGTGAGTGATGTCATGTCTTACAAGACATGTGCAGAAGACGTGGTCTAATTTTATGAGATTTGACCCATTCAGCCGTTCCCCACTGAGTATCCGTGTCCGCTACATCATGGTCCTCTCGCATTATGCCTTCAACTGCAGGTCCACTCCGACGACGGCCGAAATCCTTTAACTGGTCACATCTGACTGCAGTTTTCTCGCGCTAATGAGAATGGGTAAGGATCGCCAAGGGACTGCCGGCTACAGATACGTCTACTCTATTATTAGATTTGATTGACTCCGACTGTTTTATCCAACCACTGGTGAATACTGGAGCACTTAATGTGATCACGCATTAATTTGTCCACTATCAGAATTCTTACTAAGTTGACTTGTTTTAAATAGAGTAATCTTACAGTACGTGACCTATCTCATGTAATCTGATGACAGAAACTGATCCGAGAATTTATAGATGTCTTTAACATTGCGCATTTTGTTCGCTCATCTACTTCCTTCAATTAAATGTCCTTTTATTTTGCAGAAATTGTGTTTACGTAGTTATATTGAGTAAAATATCAGTAAATTTTAGAGACAATAGACGTTGCAATGTATTCGTGCAATTTCCTGTGCTAATACATGTCCTAGACTCCGGCTACGCATCTGTGCGACTTTTTCATTGAAAGGATAGCAATTTACCCGCGAGAGTTTTAATAATCAGATTTAGGCGCCGATCGGC